AGATGGTTGGACTCGATGATCCCAAGGGTCTCTTCCAACCTAGACGATTCTATGATTCTATGATTCTATGATTTCTTCTCCAGTTGTGTCTCCTCTCACTAATGCAAACCTACTTATGTCTGGCCTTTGTGCACAGGGATAGATAAGGAAACTTTTTGAGCTGTGGCGACTTACCAACCTGTTGAACAGACCCCATTAATCTAGTACATTTACAAATTAAAATCAAGGCAGTTTGGAGGATTTCACTTGATCCTATGTTTTCCTTGCACCTTTTTGAGGTTTTGCAGTTTGAATATCCTCATTATCGGGACTAAAACCCCTACAGCCTCCCTTCCATTGCTGTGTAAGTCATCCATTCGAGCAGTAGAAGGATAAAGAGGTCCCCGTTTTGCATGGAGTTTAGCATGAAAGTGAGGGTATGTACATACCTTTCATATACTTGGACCATGTCTCCTTAGTGAGGTGATGAAATTGGATAGTTACAGTTCTCTCAAATTATATACAAAGATCTATGGGCAACATAATTCTCAGCTAGCCTGTTAAAGGTCTGTTTTAAACAATCTGTTAAAAAAATGAGATTATTTTCTCTTAGCAGGTGTTTTTCTTTCCTTAGCAAAGTCCAGGGCAGCATTATTATTTCTTCCTTTAAGGGATGGAACATAACAAAGGAGTTTCCAGTTGGCAAATGGAAACAGATATTCTGGTTCTTCCTCTTGGCAAGGGGAAAGCAAAGCCCTGGGATTTCCCCATGGAAAGAGTGAAAACAAACACACAAAAAGTTGCTTTCTATCAGGGCAACAAATCCAAATACAATCGTTTGGCATACTAGCCTCAACACAGCTAATTGCGTAACTTAGCAGAGAAATGCAGTATTTCCCAGCCAGGAACATTCAGGCCAACTAATTTTTTCATATGGCAGCTTGCAATTACTCTAAAAATAAAGCTTATACATCTTGCCCAAAATTGATCTGAGAGACTTAGAAAATTGAGAGCTATTTTTACTTTTTCTTTTTTTGTAGAAACAAACTGTAGTTTTGTTCTTTACTTTTTTTCTGATTTTTTAATTAATTTGATGTCATTATTTACTTGAAAAGATGTCGTTTTTTAATAAAGATACTCTTTTTTTAAAAAACACCCTAACCGCTAACTAAACAAAGAACAAAAATGAATGGTAAATACCTCAACTAA